TGCCTCTTGTAATTCCTCTAAGTAAAGACAAAATGGAAGTGTGGCTAAGTAGAGACGGAGTTGCGGCACACTTAGCAACGAATGGCGGGTAGCAAACCGCCAAACTGCCCTAATTAAAACAATCCGAGGCTAACTCCAAGCTCTCTCCGTTAACGCAAACCTAAATGTTGCTCTAATAGATGGGTACTCCATTGAAAAGGGTTATTTTAATTCAGGCCGAATTAGCGACTTACCCGCCAAAACGGCTGAAAGGCACAATACGTCATTTACGGAAAAAGAGGCACCATTATTAAAAGCTGTACACGCACTTTTTTTATCACCTTACCCTTTTTAATTTTGACCAATCCACGACAAGTGGAATCTAAAGATAGCATCTTGAAGACGTAACAACCATCGTGGCACGAACATAACGTGGTTACTGTTGCCGACTGCTTACCAAGACTAGACATTAACCATGGGTGCAGGTGCCTCGACGGACAACACCGGCGAGGTGGCAATGGAGTGAATGTACTCGAATTCTGTGCACCTTGTAGCTGATTTCCTTTTGCTATTGTGTCCAGATCGTGGTGGGGGATGTCGTAACTTTCCTCGTCGAAGACCATCCCAAGCGCGTCGTTGGAGTGAGTGCTACCCTTCTGTAAGCAGTGTAATAGGATATACTGACGACAGTATGCTGTAGATTGTAACAGACGTGCAGGAAGAATGCTGCAGCATCCAGGTGTCCAATGTGGAGGTGCTGGACCGGATTCCGCGCAGCGAAGTTAAGCGGATCGCCAAGTGGGACGAGATCGAAATCGGAGATAGAGTCAAAGTGAAGGAGCAGGGTTCTCGTCTGTACTACGAGGCCGAGGTGGTTGCGCGGAATGAAAGCGGCACCTACAAGGTACACTTCGCAGAAGTGGACGAAGAGGAGGACAACGTCACGGTCGACAGAATGCTCAAGCTCATGTCTGGTCGTTTGGAGGACAAGGAGTGGATGATGTATAAGGAGACGGAACTTGAGTAGCTAGCTACATAAACTACCGAGGTTTCCTCTGCATAGCGGCTTCCTCTGGCACGAACGGCGCGAGAGAAAACCATCGTGTACCATACCACAACTTCGTAAAAGAGACTGAACATTTGAACCCTTCATCCTTGTTTGTTAGGTTATTTTCGCGAGCTGCAATAAGGAGAGAAAGCCTCCTTTGGGAATGTTCACTTGGCTTCCTACATTCTCAAGTATCCACGCCTGTGAAAAGCATCAACCGCACCATTAGAGTGTAGGCAGTTGCTGGAAAACAGCATGAGTACGTACCTCAATTCTGCTTTCTATGGCTTCCAAACTATCGGCACGTGAGAGCGCGATTGGCCCGATTTCAGTTACAGACAGGGGCTCGGTCCCTGCTGATGCATCTTCCGGGAGAGGCAAAACTAGAGGATCCCGAAGCAGAAGACGAACCATAGCTTCACTTTCGTTTGGAAGTAATTGCGCAAATAATGCTTGTCGACGAAGTCCATGAAAAATAAGGTCTAACGCCACAGCAATATCTTGCACATTAATGCAAAGCAAGAACCAGATCATCACCGTACAGCGCTAACGTACCATTTAACAATTCCGTAGAGAGAGCACGCAAACGAATGGTATCGTCGGTGCCTTCGTAAACATCCCTTGCCAGCCAAATAGAAAGACTGCGAAGAATGGGGTCGTAAAACACACCCTTCTTCTGAAGTGTAGCAGTAGCCTGATCGATCGTCTGGGATACCAGTGGACGCGCAAATTGCCACGCGAACAATTTCTTGCGCATAATCTGGTCGTGTCTCTGCTGTTCTGCTTTCTTTTTCTTGACCAGCTCTTTTTGACGGTTTGCTTCTTTAGCCTTATCCTCCAACTCACGTTCTGCCTGCCTAGCGTCATTCTTTTCGGCCTTCAGTACTTCATGCTGACAGTGTAACAGCTGCATCTCCTGCTCTTCCTTCACTTCCAGCAGCGCCTGCGCGAGCGACTTGTTCACCAGTACATTCAACAGCGGCTTGACCTCGACATCGAAGTCGAACAATCCATCGGAATCTTCAATCTGTTCAAGGCACACAAAAACATTAGCGACACAAACATTTCCATACAGCAAAAGAACTTGCTTGTGTGGATGTGTCGATGCCGATCTTCGGTCGCATGAACACGTCGTTCGTTGTTGCATTGCGTGCATTCTGCGTCCGAGGTAGGAACTCGTCTGTCTGGCTGAAGGACTCGCGATCTGGTGTCGGCTGCGTTTGTTCAATCAGGTTCGCGTCCAGCGAGATCGAAGAAACTACAATAGCACAACGTACACCGTGTTCGAATCACTATACAAATGTTTCAGCAGCAAAATTTCTGTTGCCATCCTCGTACATCTGTTTGACGGCCCAGCCTGTGTCTCGAAGACGCTCGGATGACTCTTATTGTTGTTGTTGCTCCTCTTTTTGATCACTGTGCTTCTCCGTCTTTTCACCTTCTCTCGCACTTCATTTGATCTCGACGAGTTAACCTACGCAATGCAATAAGTGGCTTTGTCAAAATGTTTATTTGACACAGCACTTACTGGAGCGAAGACACTGCCGCGCGGGATCCTCGGATCGTGCATGATGTTTGTCGGGGCAGGTTTGCTGCCGCCATCGCGCGTTTTGCCGCGATTCGTCTGCACGGGTCGCGGCTTGGACGAGTACGAGTACGACAGGTCTTGCTCCATTGCTCTTGTTTTTCAATTGGATACACTCGATCAAAGGTCGCAACAGGTGGAAGTTGAAGTGGCATACACAAATAGTACCGTAATCTGCTGCTGCTAAGTACGACAGGTCGACGGGAAGAAGCGCACTATTTTCACTGACACTGGGCATTTCTCCACTCGATTGTTGCCGCTGCGTCATGTCGATCTTCTACTGCGTGGTGGCCAACAGCCACTGCCCGCTGGCCGAGCACAGCAATGGTGGCGACAAGAGCATGAACGAGTTTGCGCAGAAGCTGTTGAAGAAGCTGAATCTGGCCGAGGACGCGGTCGAGTCCATGGACTTTGACGGCAAGACGTACAGTTACCGTGTTGACAACGAAGTGGCTTACGTTTGTGTCACCAACGCGGCATTCGGCAAGAGGTGTGTCTGCTACTGATTGATATAATCATAAGGGAATATTATGCTCATTTTTGTGGCAGTTCGGCAGCGCTGTTTCTCAAGCACATTAACCAGCTTTTCGACAACCAGTTTGGCATCCGCGGCAAAGCCACAAAGCTCAAATTGGACATGAACCGGGACTTTGCACCAACATTGAAGAAACAAATGGTCAGTCTGGAGAGGCAGTGAAAGGAAGATGCAAGGCTAACG